TGACAGTGACACTCCGAACAGCACCATGACAGGTTTGCAGACAGAAGGAGAATGGGAATTAGACTTGTTGACTCCTCTCCTACAAGAGACTTTTTTTTTGTTCTGAAAAAATAAAAGTGCTGGTTTATGCTGAAGACAGTTGATCTTTAACAAGACAGCAAAGGATTGATACAGCAGAATTTTGCAGAGCCTGAAATAGCTGCCAAATTCAAGAGGCTGTTGGGAAATAAAAACCAACAAACATAGTCCTCTAAGGAAAACCTGGTTTTGTTAAACAAGGTCACGCTGTCTTTTTGTTGTTTCTTTCCTTCTTATTCTTTTTTCCTTACATGTTCCTACATCTGCAGAGTAGGGAGACCAAGTACCAGTTTTCCCATGTTCCCCTTTGGAATTCTACAGCATTTCTTCTGCAGGAGCAATTAGTATTTGCTGTTGTTTTAAAAGAAAAACCCTACAGAAATAAAGGAAAAGTATGACTCACGGAGAGACCAATAATTAGGTCATGTGTTCAATTAGTTTTCATGCTTAAGTAGTTACTCTTCAGGAAATGCTCCCCCTTTGATGTGCAGCAGCAACTTCCCAATTAATTAGGCAGAAAGAAGCAATGAAGGAATGAAACCTCAGAAACCTTATCAAAGCCCAGAGATCTCTAATGAGGGGAACAACAGCATCAACAACAGACAACTGGCACTAAAAGGTAGAGGCTTTCAACGATCCATTTCAAGTATCTTGGCTGTACTTCCTTTGAAATTAAGAGAAAACTGTTGGGAAGCAGACCAGAAGAGAGGGAGTGCAGTCTGTTTGATCAGAAAATCACTGTTTCCTTGAAGGCTTGTCACAAAAGAGATAATCTACCCATACTGGAGGAGGTGTGTCCTCAGAGAGCATCACTCACTGGTGGAGGCAAGAGGCATCACACAACGGGTGAGATGGGATCAGAGAAACACAGGAAAGCCCTTCATTTAAAATCTGCATTAAAAACCTGTGTACAGTGAAGCACAAGGGGACACAGTGCTGGGAGTCCCAGCCTGGCACCAAGCACTTGGGGAAAGGATCATATACAGCCACAGCTCAACTAACTAACTAGTTAACTAACTAACTAACTAACATTCTGCCCATGCCCACAGAGGAGCAGCAGCCAAGCCTGTTTGGGATCAGGACCCAGTTTCTCAGTTCCCTCAGGCCCTGTTGCAGTCCTGCTCCTGGATGATGTCACCTCTCTGAACCAAGGGGAAAATGGGCACAACCACATCCACTAAACGGGCTGGAAAGACCCAAAACGTGCCCAGATCTGCCAGATCAATGAGTGTAGACATGTTATTGTCTGTCTCTTAACAACTGCCACGGATGTGAAGAATGCAGCATCACAAAGAAAACTGCACAGGAACAGAAGCCAGATTGCTGTGGGAGTGTCCCCCCACCCTCAGTGAGCAGGGATGCTCCAGGAGCAGGCATTCCCAAACAACAGTACTTGCTTTCAATCCACCCTTCCCAAAGGCTTTCTAGAAGTTTATTTAATCTTGTCTTCTAGATTTCCCCAGTCCTCCCCCCATCCAGGATTTTCATCCCCCTTCACAGCTCACAGTCCTTCACCCCAGGGATCCCCTTCAGGTGGAGCTATAATGAAATCAGCTAATTCCATTAGAGAAGTAAAACACTCAAAACGACTCTCTTAGTGCAAAAGGAGGAAAGTGAGAGAAGGAAAAGGGAGACAACAATGCAGCACCTGAATTAAAAGATCAATACTGTAACTGACTGTTTTATTTAGGCAAGTGGGTGTAAGGGGTGGAAATTCTTTGGGCTGTGATGTTTTGAGTTCTTTGGCCTTGCTGGTTGTTGCACAGGGTGTGCAGGAGCCCTGGAGCTCCTGACCTGGAGGGGCAGGAGGGGAGTGGTGATGCCAAATTACAGACTTGCTCTAGGAAATCTTACAGAGGCACAAACCTCTCACACCCCATTAAGCTACTTATCAGAGGATGTAAAAAGTCCCATGTTCCATAGAAGAACTGACCTTCAACTTGAAATAAAGGTTTCTATACAACTGCAAGATCCCACTACAGCAGTTCTGCAGGATCTCAGAACTGCTTGGAGCACTGGAGGAGTGTGTGTCTGACATCCTCCTGACCTCACCTCTGCCCAGGAAGGGTTATGAACTGCACATTTTGGCCTTCCTGGCAGGACTGGGAAAGTTCATCAGAAAATAAGGAACAGGGCTGCAAAAAGAACCTGGTGCAGGAGTGACACTGGGATTCATGTGGACCAGTAAAATCACAACAGAGGTGTCCAAATGATTGAGCAAAAGGAAGAAAAAGTCCTGTGAATGTTCTGGTCAGTTTAGAGTTAAAGAGAGAAACTGGTCAAAAGCCACTGCCAACAAAGAAAAAGCAAATCTATAATTTCATGCAAATTTAATAAGCATATGCTCCAGACTACTTCATACCAGGTCCTTTATTATGTAAACTTGCATCATCCAACCCACAGTTCTGCCTTCAGCTGTGCAGCCCCTTCTCAGGGCTCAGACACAGGGATGGAAACTCAGGGAACTTCACTGTCTGGGCAAGGCTGGGAGCCAAGGAAGGAGACAGAGGGGGAACAAAGCCTGGCACCCTTCTAAGAAGCCAGCCCATCCCACAGGTTCTGTGCAAGCATCAGTGCCCACAGGGCAGCTGATGCTTTGATACAAAATGCTGAGGTTCAGCTCTGACAATTCCAGCCAGGAGGATGCAGAAAACACACTCCCTCCATCCAGTCCCCGAGCACAGGAGCAGCAGAGCACTGCAGAACACCTTCAGCCTTCCCACCAGCCCCTCTGCTCAGCTCTGCAGTGCCACAGCACAGAGCCAGGTCCCAGGTTCTACTGATAAATGGAGGCAAACCGGGACTTACAGAGCAGTAACTCCTGCTCATAAAAATCCCCACGAGCTCCTGCATCTCCATAAACCATCTCTCTGCAGCAGCACTTGGAGTTCGCAGTCCATTAGTCCTATTTTCAAAGTCTGTTGACTCTTAAACTAAGGCAAGTTCCTGCCTTTGGCATGGCACAACATGCAGTGAAGCCAAGAAAACTGAATTTACTCCTCAACGACAGGGAAATTATTTGCCATTCACTGCCAGCCCAAGCCAAGCCACGCTCTGGCTGGGCACTTACTACAGGGTTGCACCCAATGCAGGCAGGTTCTGCAAGGGGTAATAAATGAAGGTCAGAAGCAGAGAAATTCCACTTCAATATGATCAATTCCTTATCTAAATATTTTAAATGCAGAGCATGTGAGGAACCTCCGAAAGAAATTCCAAGTATTTTATTCTGGGCAATGGAAGTGGTACAAAGTGCTGCCTCAGCCAAAGGCTCCCCTTTCCCACGTGTTCTCTGGATGCTCCCTGCCAAGCCCTCTGCTCCAGGCCCTGCCACCACTGAGCCCCAGTTCCACTGGGCTCCTCCAGCCATTCCCCAGCCCACCAGGCTGCAAATTCCCAAACCAGGGCAGCAGTCCCAGCAAAGGTCCCTTCAGTCAGGCACTACAGGCTCCTGTGCCTTTCATTCTCAGCTGCTTCAGCAGCCCCCTTGATCCCCGTAATTGAACCTCCTTCCAGATTACCCTCAGGTTTAACCCCTTCCCTGCCCAGTGACACTCAAACCCCATGACCCAAGGGAGGGTTAGTGAAGAGCTGTCTTGGTTTCTTTTCACTTTTTCACCAGCACCTCAATTGTCACTGCACTGAGCTGCAAGAACTCTGACTTGTTCAGAGGATTCTTTATCAAGACAGATCAAGCCCCAGCTCTGTCATCTCCTGCTCTCTCCCCAGCACCATCTTTATTTGAGAATTGCATGATATGTCTGAATATTGCTTAACTGCGGGATTTTGCAGATGAAACAACAGCTGAAGTGGTTTTTACTCCCACAGCACACAAATTTATTTAGCTACACAACAATAAAGCAAAGTCTTAAATTTAATCAGAACAAATACTTCAAGCAACAGCAAGCTGATAAATTATTTAGAAAGGGGTTCAATAAGACCTGGAAGGAAATATCCATCAGCTGTGCAGCCTGGGAGCTTCCAGAAACAAGGAATTTTCAGGCTTTACCCATTTTACAGATTTTTTCAGCTAAGCTGTTTGTATTGAACACAAAGGGTTTGAACAACATCCTGCAAACAGAAGCAGCCAAGGACTGGCAGTGATGGCACAGGACTGGTCACAGTGTCCATCCCTGCCACGATCCACCACCAGGAATCAGCACCATTTGTACATTCCCAACAAGGTATTCCTGACAGGTAGCTCGTGCTGAAAGGACCTGACAGCCTGGGAATATTGGCTATTTCAGAAGATTTTAATCATTTGGTCTTTTTTTCAGACTGCCCTGTTTTCCCCAAACTGTCTTCCTTCCCTCCATTCCAAACCACTCCAAACCACTGAGAATCAGACCAAACTAGATGCATTAGTATTTATATGAAAGCTCTAGTAAATTCAATAATGTTCCTATTGTTTTATTGCACATGGCACATCAACTTCTCTTTATTACTGCAGAAAACTCAAGAGCCCTGTGGAGTGCAATAAACCAGGACGTGTTTGGCTTTGCAATGTTTCAGGGGCTGTGATTTCCTGCAGGAACCAGGAATTCACCAGGAATTCACCTCCACCAGGCCCACGCAGGGAACCTGCTCCTTCTGACCTGTCCCTCACCCCTCAGTACCAGGGACTCCACTACAGAGCACAGAAAAGGGACTGTTTTCACCTTTGCATCGAGATGTTTTACTCTCCTTTTTGATTTCAGGCACTATTTGAATTTTCTGCCAAATTCTTATTGTCAGTGTACCACAAGGAAAAACACCAAAGCAAATTCTCTTGTCTTAAACATAATATCTACCATAAATGCTTCAAGACAAGCCCTTCTGATAGAAACATACTTAAAAACACTTCAGAAAAAGGCATTCAACAGACCACGATGCACAGACTCAATCATGTGAAGGTTTCACCAGGAGATCAGCCCAGGAACACTCACCCTTGGCTGCCAGTTCTCGTACTGCTTCTGCAGGTTGGCCCCGATGGTTTCCAGAGCCTTCTGGGGCCCCATGGACAGAGGATCTGGGAACAGAACACAGAGGAGCATTTCTGACCCCAGCTGAACCCCTCAGGTCATTGATAGCTTCACACAGGTTCCTTTCGTGACCGATTTCAAACTCACAAACTTGTCATTCCTCATGGAATTTACCTGGGGACAACACCCAACTTCAGTACAAATGCAGTTCATTACTGACTGTCAGAGCTGGAGGATTTCTCTCACTAAGCTACTAAACACAATTTTGTTTTGAAGGACAGGAGTGGCATTACATCTGTTTCCTTCAATACTAAAAAAGGTTTCTATTGTAAACAGTGACAAAAAATTCAAATTGATTAAATATTTGATGATAAACATTTCCTCTTGATGGATGAAAGTCCTGCTTCATTTACTTCCTTTGCTTCTTGCTTCTCAGATAATGTGCCATTTGTAATATTTAAGAAGTTAATTTTATCACTAGATAATTACAACCATCCATACATAGCAATACAATTCCAGTCTATGTGCTTTATTCAAACACCATGAACATATAATTACACTATTAACAAGCTTAAAAAAAAAAAACCTAGAAACTAATATTTCACTATTTAATATAAATTATTTTAAAAGCATTTAACCAAATCAATTAAGGTTTTTTTTTTTTTAATTTTTACAAATATTCTACTTTTGTTGGAAAGAAAATATAATAAAGTAGGATGAAAGCTGGATTGTATGAGTTATTTTTCTTTAATGAATAAAAGCTGGGATCTTATTTAAATTATAGCAGTAAACTGCAATTGGAGCAAAAGGAGTTCCACACCTCCCTGCACATCTGCAAAGACATTCTCACACACCCCACTCGCTTCTCCTGAGACTGGGGTAAGGAAAACATCCCATATTTCTGCAATTACCTTTCTCAGAAGTTTCAAGTCGGCTGGAAATGGAAGGAGCACTTGTGTACATACACACACTGAAAATTTAATTACAAAGCTGCATTCAAAATTCTCTTTGCTAATGATAGGCACTAATGACTTTATTTAAATGACTCTGCAATGCTCCTCATTCCCTTTGCTGGTGTATCAGTGGGACAGCAGAGCTGTCCCCTCCCCTGCACTGATGGATCTGTTCCTGCCTGCTCAGGGCTTTTCAGCTGCTTCAAAGTCATCAGTGTTTTTAGGTTAAAAACCTGAGATGCTGTGATTCATGAAAGCAGGTAAAGCAAGGTTAGAAACAAGATCTTCTGAAAGTTTTTTCTTTAAAATTCCGTTTGTGCAGTGATTAATTTGCTCCTGAGGCCTGTCTAAGCCCCAGAGTTGAGGATTACAGTGGTATGTGCTGGAGGCTGAACGTTCCCCATTCCTAGATAAAAAACAAATCTCTCTGAGAAAGCTTTTGTACACAACATATTTCCTTCTAATATTACTTCAGATTTGCCTCATCTTGATAATCAGACTTTTTTTTTCCAAAAACCAAGGGAACTTTTCATTGCTTCACAAAAAGACCAGGAATTTAATCCAACACTGCATCAAACTAGCAAGACCAGGTGTTGGAACTGCTGGTAAGACATCCTTGGGAATAATTCCAGGTCTTCTGAATTCATGTTTCCAATTAAAACAGCCACCTCAACACACAGCAAAGTCCTTGCATTTCACAAACCCCCCTGCTCTGCTCTGCAAGGCAGCAAAGGGGGATTCAAAGCTTTGCAGACCCCAGCACTCTGAGGATGGAACTGCTCACAGATTTCCTCAGATATTTATAAATCTACCACAATTAAAAGGAAGCAAAGCAGCTCACTAACAGCTGGTTTGCTCCATGGTATCTCATCTCAGAACAAAGCAGGACGGGACCTAAGGCAGCAGTGGGGGCTGGACTCTTGAGTGACCCACAGAGAGAGAGAAATCAGACCCCAGATTTCCTTTTGTTCACCCCAGTTTTCAGTTCAGGAAATTCACAACTTTGAGATGACCTTCTGTGCTGTGGCTCAGTATTTGCAGGACTCAGGGTCAGCTGGAGCCTGGAAGCCCTGGGGACTCACCGATCCAGCATTCCAGGCGGGCACAGGGAGTTGTTTTCACCACATCAGGAGGGTCCACGCCGACATTTAGGCACAAAACTAAGGCAACACTTACAGTCTTCATCTGCAAAGACAGGCAATAATACATCTACTTAGTGCAGAAGCAACAGCAATATTCACTTGGGTTCAAATTTTACCACTCTGAGAACTTTTGAAGGGTTTCAACCAACCTCTCTTACCTGCTCTTTCACATGGACTATTTTGAGCAAGGCCTGACTGATTACATTGTTCATATTTTTTATTAGAACAGTACTTAGACCCTATGTTACTATTTTTATTATTATTTCCAGAGCCCATTCTTCTCTTTCTGAGCATGGAAATAGATATCAGTGAACTTCTGCTACTCATCTTAAATTAGCCATTGTCCAGCTGAAACATATTATTAAAACATGAGGAAATGCTATTCACGGTCCCTGGTCAATATTATAATGCAGTGCATGATCTCTAATATTAAAACTAAGCATATTACAATGGAAACCCCCCCCAAGTGACAAACTAAACCTTAAAATCCTCAAACAAACAAACACACATCAAAACAAACACATTAAGTCCATTTTTTCTTTGTTTTCTGCACACCTTAGTTATCCTGGAGAGCCTTCTTAGGAGAAATCCTGTCTTGGCTCCCTCCCTGGGCCTGCTCCAGCTGCTCCAGCATCACCCTGGCGCTGCCCAGGCAGCACATGGGGTTGTGCCACGTGGGCACCACGAAGTTACCAAACCCAAGCCCACCAAACCTCACCTGGGACCGAAAACCTGCATTAAACCAATGGCTGAGCACCACAGCCAGCTAAAAACACTGCTTGAAAACTATTATTGCACATCTTCATGGTCTCTTCCACGCTCCCTTGTTCCAACCCCTAAACCAGAGAAGCAAAACAAAGGCTCCCAGTAATTCCATCAGGCACTCAGTGCTTGTCTGCACACCCACACCCCCAACGCAATTCCCAACAGGAGGGGAAAAAAATCCAAAATTTCACACTTAAGAGAAACCCTAGAGCCATACAAATGGATAATTTATAAGGAAACTGGAGCAGCCAGACACTGTTCATGCCATGGAAGGGGGACAGGCTCAACACCAGGACAGAAATCCAGCAGCTTTTCCTCACTCCCATGGCCATGACAGGGAACACAGAGTAAAGATCTAGCAAGAAATGTGGTTAATGGCTTCATCCCAAAGTGTGTTCTGGCTAACAAACCCTGCAATCACGTAGGAGTTCCTCCTGCCCAGGAGGTACCGAGGAGGAAGCAGCACTTTGCAGTACAGAGATGAAAACAAGAGTCTGGACAGGAATCCCCATACCAGGATGTCACGAGGGCTCCCGAGGAGCCACACATGGATGGGGTGGCTCATCATGGGATGGAGTTCAGCACTAAGGACAGGTGCACCCAGTGTACTTCCTCAGAATTCCAAAGAATCCATAGTCCAAGCAGAGTTATTTGCAACATGAGGGTCAGCAGCAAGATGCAGCTCGGTCCTGCAGACCCTTCAGTGCTGCAGAGTGTTATGGATCACCCAAAAGCACCACCCAAAACTGCTCCCTCCCCAAAACACCTGACCATTACACAACTCCTGGCACTGCCCTGCCCACAGGGACACCTTTCCAGCACACTCCCTCATCTGCCAGCCCACAGGGCCCCAGAAAACCCACAGTGCTGCAGGGTGTGGAGGGGCACAAACATCTCCAGGAGTCACCATGTGCTGGCAAACACACTGAAAACCCTGAAGGAAACACAGGAAACTACAGACAAAATAACTTAGGAGGCATGAAAACACATAAATCATTCCTCCAAGAGAAAGTATCCTGCCAACCAATCTTCTCCATCTCCCGTATTTATTGTTTCCCATTTGCAGTCTAATACTGACTTATTTTTCAATATTTTGCTAGTAATGTCTGATCAGTGACTTATGCTGAACAGGCTGATATTTATCTTCTGTTCCCAAGTTCGGGGTTTTAAATAAGCACCTCTCCAGGAAAACTGACAGCAAACCCCTAATGAAAGGAACAGGAACTGATCCCAGAGACAAATGGGGTGATTTCCCCTCTGCCACCTCTCCCAAAGGACATAAAGCCTCACATTCCACTACGACTCATTGTGCAAACAACAAGCACACCCTCGGGGAGAATTACAGCTCACTCCTCTCCCCTGACCTGCTCCTCCTCATCCACCCCTGAGGGTGAATCACAGAATGGCCTGGGATGGAAGGGATCTTAAATCCCATCCAGTGCCACCCCCTGCCATGGGCAGGAACACCTTCCACCAGCCCAGGTTGCTCCAGCCTGGCCTCAGACACTTCCAGGGATCCAGGGGCAGCCACAGCTTCTCTGGGTAACCTGTGCCAGGGCCCCACCACCCTCACAGCCAAGAATTCCTTCCCAATATCCCACCTATCCCTGCCCTCTGGCAGTTTGAGGCCATTCCCCCTTGTCCTGGCACTCCAGGAAATAGTCTCTCCATCTTTCCTGTAGTCTCCCTTCAGGTCCTGGAAGGCCACAATCAGGTCACCCCAAAGCTTCTCTTCCCCAGGCTGCACAATCCCAGCTCTCCCAGCCTTTCCTCCCAGCAGAGCTGCTCCATCCCTCTGACCATCCTGGTGCCTCCTCTGGACTGGCTCCAGCAGCTCCCTGTCCCTCCTGTGCTGTTCCCAGGGCTGGAGCAGCTCTGCAGGGGGGTCTCACCTGAGGGGCAGAGGGGCAGAACTGCCCCTGCCCTGCTGCCCACGCTGGGGGATCAGCCCAGGGCACGGGGGTGCCAGCACTCACAGCAGACAAAAAAAAAAACCCAAGCCCAAAAAACCCAATAACCCTTTTGACATTTCTAAGCTCTTGGAACATGCCAGAAACTTTAAATCTTTTTAATACAAGAAGTATGAGGACCTTCTCATCTGTCATTAAGACAGTGGAAATTTTCTTTTTCCCATTTCAAGAGTATATCTGAGAATACATTTCAATGGATTTTTGTTAGAATTAAAAAATTAAGCAGAAAAATGTTTGGCAAGCTGGTAAGAAACCCAATATCTAAAATGCTTTCTCAGCAAAGGCTCAAGATCAGACCACAGCAGCTCTTACTGTGGGCTTTGTGCTGGGGAGTGTTGTTTGCATGTTGAAAAAAAAGGTATACAATTCCCAAGCTTGTATTGCATCCAATTTAAAATGGGTTAATAACTCTGGGTCAGAACCTGCAATAGCTAAATTGCAAAATCCACTCAGTCAAAATGCTCTTGCTGAGAAGCAGTGGTATTGAATTCCTCCCCAAACCCACTGGAAACGGGAGTCAGGGAGCAGAGGGAGTTCTGCATCTGCTCGGAAAAGAAGATGCTTTTTAAAGCATCTGACATTAAAATTTACATCTTATACTAAAGATCAGAGAACTTGTAAAATATTTCTAATTCACCTCTTATTTCATTCAGAGATCTGCAGGTGAGTACAGTGCACTTTCTGCAGCTATTTTCAGCCAGAAAATAAACATTGCATTATCTCCCTAAGAATGGGTTTGACTGAAAATGTGAACTTTTATCATCACAGGGAGCCCGCCTGATCCTATTGGAGCATCCCTAAAAGTGATTCCAGTCCAGGCTGAAACGAAAACAGCCAATTTCAGCAGTGCTGGATTTGTTACAGCCTGAGTAAGAACAGTTTAGTAACTTCTAGTTCAAGTAATACCAAGAACAAGCCAATGCATTTATGAGAAATTTTACATTTTGTGGTACATTTCAGACTGGACATTTTAAGACCCATAAATATTTGATTTCTTCACTGCAATTTGCAAGCTGAAAACTTTCTCTTCAACATTACCCAGAAGAACACTCAAGTGCTAGAAACTTGCCTGGGTTTATGCCAGTCAGTTCAAATTGCTTCTGTGAGTCAATATAAACACAAGATTAAGTCAGCATTAAACAAGAAATATACACTGCTACGTTATTTTACAGAGTTGAGGGTGAAGTTATCAACATTAAACACAAACACTGGGACAGATTTCCAGATTCCAAATCTTCCTCTCGGTCTCACTTGGAAACTCTCACTGGCCAGGAGGCTCAATTCCCTGCTTGTGCAGGAAATTCATTCCCTTCCTAAAGACTTTTTTGGGACATTTTTACACAGATTTAATACAAGCCTCTCAACCAACAGGCAAACCCAGCGAGGTGTTCCACAGGTAACTCCAGGATGTTGGCTCCTTTGGAGATGTGCCATTAGACTCCCCAACAAGGAAGTCTCCAACACTGAACACCAGCAGCAGCATTTAACAGCACAAAACACTGTTCTCCCTCTGGAGTTCCAGTTCACTCTGCAGCACCAGAAAAATCGTGTTTTCCCCAATCCTTCCCATTTTGGGCTCCCAGCCCAGAGGTGACAAGTGAGGACAATCTGCCCAGGCATTGTTCCCAGGGCTCTGGCACCACGCTCCGCTGAGGAATGCAGGTCTGCAAATCAGCCAGGGAAAAGGCTGAAAGTGTTGAACAGGCACACAAAACCCTGACCTTCCTGGTCCACTCCATCACAGAACTGCACACAAACCCGGTGAAAGGATGCTGAAGCAACTCAGAACATATCCCACATGGACACAAATTATCCCAGTCCAGGAACACAGACCCCTGCTGCCTCTTCAGCTCACCTGTATCATTTGCAAGGTAAAAACATCTAAAAAACGAAGAGCTTTCAGCTTCAAGGAAATTTTTTTAACGTAGAGTTTAAGATAAATAAATAGTTAGGGAAAAAAAAAATCTCCGTGTGCTTTTCCACAGCGATAAAAATAGTAAAATGCAAAGAAATCCTTCGAGATAACATTAATAATTCAACATCTCTGCAGGTTGTCTTCAGCCATCTGCAGCCCAAACGGTGGGTTCCTGGTGTGCCAGCCTGCTCTAGATTCCTAGATCAACTCCTCCCCAGGGTTTGTTTTCCTTCTCTAACCTCTGTGTTCAGCACTAACACTCTGAGTTTTCTTCAGAGGTTTATTATGTCCAACATGTTCGTTTGCCCAGCCAAGGCAGCTCCTGCACACGGCTCATGTGCCAGCAGTGACACAGCTCCTCACAAAGCACACCTTGAACTGCTGCCTTCACTG